GGAATGAACCTTACAAATGCTTTCATACCTGTTAAGTTCATTCCTGATATCCTCTAGCTCTTGTCGGTCTGTTTTCCCCAGCTCTTTTTCTTCTGCTGCCAAATAGCGCAACCTCATGTGCTCCAACTCTTGTTGCTGCTTTTTAAGGTGAGCCATTGCATTTTCTTGTTCACGCTAATGTGAGAAGGGGTGAAGACAACATTACTCAGTTGACTACGTGATTACATGTGAAAGTGCTAATTATAGTGACATGAGCAAAACTTCAGGAATGACAATTAAGTCTCCAGCAGTATTAGAAATACAGGAGTTAAACAGAATGTCTTAGCTGTTGACATCTATAATGCAGTGAGACCAGTGACTATCACAACTGCAGTAAACCTGTCCAGGCTGGATCAGCTGAAGCCCAGTCACAAGTATCTTCCCATTAACAAAATAGCAGAAATGTTACAAACCCTTTCACAAACTCTGGCTTAAGCTGGTAAACATAAAACTTACACTTGTGGAACTGCTCAAGATGCTGCTATTTATTCCTTTGGTACATAGTATTTTAACTTTTTTTTTGACAAATAAACCACAGAAAAATGCTAAATAAATGCAGGAAACTGCCATCATCAGCCCCATAGTGCCTACTGTCAAAGCCTCAAGAACTATTTTTTGAAATTGCAATTCGTGGTTAAAAAATAAGCCTAGAAAACAAAACTCTGGTGAGGTTTCCTTTTACATTTGTCTAGCTCTACATGAAATCTTAGATAACTCACTCTGTGGATTTAATCCAACTAATCTATCCATTCTAAAGGTTTACTTGGTTCTATTTGTTTCAAGCTCCATACAGACCCTGTAACAAAACTAGGGTTTGGGTCCACTATCACTTTGTGACATTGAAGTGTCTTAATGAGAAGTGTGGTCCTTTCTCCACTTGTTTTCCTCCCAGTCATTTTCCATTTGACCTTGTGCACTAATTCAATACAGCCAGTCTTACACTCTGAATAAGACTGAAGACCTGAGGTAAAATGGCATTTCTTCCTGTACTTAAAAAAAAGGCAGGAGGTTACACAAACATCCTGGATCTAGACATATTGTGAAGCACAAGGTTACCTTTGTAATTTTGACATTGCTTTCATCTGAAATATTTGATTGTTTAATACAATCAGTTTTATATTTATTATAGGGGTAAAAAAAGAGAATTGTTTTATGTGTGAGCATATTCATTACACAGTCAACCTAATAATATTTGGAAGAGTCTAGTCAGGCAGTTTCTTGAATCTCAGTTCCCAGCATCTTAAGCGTTCCCTGTTGATGATCAATAAGTGATAAGAAAATCTGAATTTCACAAGGAATTGGTATAAACAAAGACTAATTGTTAACATCAACAGGAAATGCAATAGAGAAGTATTTGACAAGAAATCAGTGTGTACGTAACCTCAAGATACTTTATTTTTATACTAAATCAACTATACCAGTCAGGCAAATTGAATGTTAGAACTACAGTGAGACAGGTCGAAGCCTGAAGAACTTGTTAAAGGGATTCATACTAATAATAAAACCAGATGTAGGAATCCTGCCAAAGAGTGTACAGCCGATAAATGATTGAAGCATAAGAAAGCACTCGGGGAAGCTAAGGCCACAGTCCTTCCTTCCCCAAAAAGCGGTCACTATATAAGAACATTTCCATGTGAGAGGCACCCTTTTTTATATGGGACAGGTTTGAAGAACAGTCTCAGACTGAAGTAGACTAGGTTTTAGAACAGGAATCTACACATGCATGCAGCAAATATTAACACCTCACTAAACCAGCTGATATTTATCTAACAGTTCTCAAGAGTTCTAGGGAAATTGCAAACACAAAGTCACAAGACTAACTGGAGATGTAATCCATCACTCAAATTTGTGTTGATACCACAGGAATAACTATTTCCCCATTTTTTATTTTATTCTTTCTTTGAACAGAGGCCTTAGGAATATCCAGCAACTACCAGCAGGACTTACTTCCACAGTGGCCAAATTGGCTGAAACCGTAACAAACTCAAAAACTAACAGGATGTATGGGTACACCAGGAAGAATGCATCCAGCTTCTGTAGAAAAGTCATGCTTCCAACTAGTCTTACAAAACAAAACCCAAAAAAACAACAAAACACCACACCAAAGAAACACCTACAGCCAAACACAAAGCTAAGCTGTCACAGAGAAAGTCCTCTGAGATTGCTCAGGGTTTAGAAGACCAGAGAAAGGACAGCAATCGATCATTTCCACAATAGCAAGAAAGTAACAGTAGGCTGCACAAGAATCTGTTCTTTGACTTTCTCACTTATCAATGTATCATTCTGTAACAAGCAGTTTGCTGCTGATATAGAATTATTCAGTGAGGAAAAAATGGATGTGGGAGAGTAGGATGTTACGGGGACAAAAACACGAATTAGTTTGAAAAGGAAACGGATAAATTAAGAACACATTCACTGGTGTCTGTTAAACAGCCTGAATGCAACCACTGTTTGCATGTACTTAACTCATGATGTACTAATTAACTGAGAACACCTGGAGGATATTCAAAGATATCCAAGCTGGGCTTCTAGATCTTGTGCATCTCCTGGTGGCTTCTGTATCAGCTAGACTGATATTTCATATCGGTTGGCCAGTTTGTTTTTTTCCACCCAATGAAAAGCACTGGCTGAAAGTCAAAGTTAGGTAAATTCCAACTAGAGATATGATTCAAGTTATTAAAATAGTGGAAATTAATCACTTAAGCAATATACCACGTTAGGAGCTTCGTAATCACAGAATGGTTTGAATCAAGATTAACATTTGTATTTTAAATATTTAACAAAGACAGATGGTGGCTATTTTTGTTACAAAGTCCCAGCGAGTATCACAATGGTACTCTCTGGTTTCCAAATATCTGGATAGGCAACAGCATTCAGATGGTAAAGCCAAATTTCAAGTATACAGCAGGCTATGAGGAGGGATAGAATTATCTTAACTATATTGACAGCTGGACTTGAGTTGTTTGCTTTGCCAAATGCAGGTAGTAAGATAAAATTATGAACATGATCTAGTCTCAAATAGATTGGTATAAAACCACTACAACTTAAGTTATAGGACAAGTAAATAAATGGACAGCAAATCTGATTATCGCAACTACTCAAAATCTAGAAGTATGAGGACAGGCTAATATTTACTTATTTTCGAGACCATCGCTATTCTTTGTGTTCTCATTAGATCTCCTAAGTTAAACCCTGTTCAAAATGAAGCAAGTCAAAATATTGCTGTGTTTCAGAAAAAAAAAAGTTGAGATTAATACCTTAAGGCAAACATGAGACCTGAAACTTCAAGTATGTTAAATCTCCTTTGTAAAGTTTTATTTAGTCTCAGGAGAGGAGGTGTTGCCCTGTACGTGTAGAACACATCTAGAAATTTCTACTTGTCTGTCCCTACAGGTAAAGAATCCAGTAATTCAGTCTGGTGACCAGCTACTTTGCCTGATTAGGCAACAATTCTACAGAAACTTGCTATACATATCCCTGTAGTAGATACAGTACAGCCTGCATATCCAAGTTCTGGTTTTGGAATTAATTTGTCTAGTACAACCTGGTTTTCCTGTTGACACTATTATCTAACAGTGGTAAGAGTCTTGAAAGCCACACTATAAATTATATAAGAACGCAGTTTACAACCAAACTGCCTCATCTATAGGAGAAAACCCTCATTACCATGGAGGATGAGGCTGACATCTTCCTCTCAGATGATGTCAAAAATCTAGATCTTTTACAGAAGAGAGGACTTCTAACTGCCATTATCTCCTTTTCTAGCTTTTCCACCTATGCTGATTTGTAGGTATGATAAACCTCAGTCCAATGCATTGTTGCAGATGGTGTTAGGATTAGCTTTGGAAAAAATCTTGCTCCGCAGTCTATTCATTCATGCTCTAATAGTCCCCAAGACTACTGTCATGGGAAGATGGGGTATTAATGTAAGCCTGTCAAATTTGTGTATCTCAGTGATTCTATGAGAGAACTTTTTTTGAAGCTATGTTGGGCAAACATCACCTGCAAACTAAATACTGGAAAACAAACGCAAAACAGAGTAGCACTTAACCCCAGCACAGCAAGACTTTAACACACCAGTAGAAAATGACATCCCTGCCTACTAATGAAACAGATTATAACGTGACACAACACAAATCATCAAATAGCTGTGACTACACTGAATAGAAGTCTTCTAATCCGGTCCTTCAGTTTGTGGAGTGTATTACTCAGATCTATATGGAAAGATTTTAAAAGCGTTCTGACAGTTGCAGCTTCAGAAGAAACACAAAACTGCTGCCAATAAGAAGCACAGGGGGGTGTGAGAAGTTGATACAATACTAATTGAGGCAGGAAAGTTCAATGATCCAAAGGTTTCTGCTGTTCAGCAACGTGCTCAATGGCAAACTGATAGCAAAAAAGGCATCTTAAACAAACTCAAAGTATACATTAGAAGTACATATATTGAAGGTTAATAGAACAAAGTCTGAAGCTCAGGCCAGTAAGAAGACAGAATACTCCTAATGCTTTCGTATTGATCAGAAGAGGTTTCATTTCATACCTTGGTCCTTTATGCTGTCACTGAACTACTTAGTTTCAGAACTGTATGGTTTTTTGATTAAAAAACATCTTTAGGGATGTTCAATAAAATAAAGGAAAGGACAAAAAATGATGCAAAAGCCAAGGAGAAATGTGTAGGAAAAGCAAGGCTTTCCTGGGGAATCCTTTGTTCAGTACTTGTTCCTTGTACTATTGTCTATTAAATGTCTATTCAAAAAAATTTAAAAAATACGTCATTAGTGAGCATGCTTGTTGTTCACAATAATTTCCCTAGATTTGTAGGAAAGTAAGCTTGAATATAGAGGGTGCTAAACTCTCTTTTTCTCCTCTGTGGACAAAAACTCTTATCAGTGCATTTTGTCTCCACATTAGGTAGGACTTGCTTTCAGATAAATGTGATTAGAAATTTAATTTGATTACAAATACAATTGTGATGTAAACATTATAAATATTTGGTATATTCTGGATTGGGAGGGGTGAGAGAAAATAAGAGATTAATTTTAGTCCTGTAAGAGTGAAAGTCAAGAACTTCTGCAGTGTGCCATGATGTTTAAGCACAATAATATTAAATTGTAATTATTATTAAAATCAACATCTTTGACAGCAAGATTTCCCTAGCATTCAGTTTAAGACAGTCCAACTTGGAAAAGAGACATGGAAGCAAGTGGGAAGGCATTCTGCAGATTCATTTACGATGGATCCTGTGTGTAATTTAAGTTACACACTTCATACTCTGTAATTTTTAAACGTGTTTCCTAACATTAGTCTTTGACTTCTTTAAAAGTCTGTCATAACAATTTGTAGGGTGCATAATAGCAAGCTTGCTCTTTGTGTACCATTCATAGCAGAGCAATAGACACCCACTTCCTAATAATCCATCAATACAAGACAACAGCAAAGCATTTATAACAGTTGTTTGGTAAGAAGTGAGGCATGCTGATTTCAAATTAATTTATATACAATTCATACGCTGAGGGACCATAAAAGGAACCAAACTCTATTGCATAATAGTACTTCAAATATAGTAGAATTTACCATGATATCTTCCAAAATTAAAAAACCAATATTAATAAAACACTTCTGCACATTTATGGTACTAATAAACTGAAGTCCAGCATTTCTAAACTTGTATACTTAAAATCTAAGTTATAATTGAATATAAAGTATTTTAAGTGTACCTCAGCACACACGTTTATACATACTCACACACTTAAAATTCTCAGTCAAGATTTTCTGACATACTTTACATTTCCAGAGAGAATAGGCTCCTATCCTGAAATAAGGAGCATTTCAGATTTATTCCTAACTGCTTATTGTAGTCAGTAAGGTTGTTTTAAACCACAGTAAGAATTATTAGCATTTCAAATTTTAAACTATTAGAATTTTGTATTTTTAAATTTCAGGTGAAGGAATACTCCAGAATCATCAGCTGCTGGACTAAAAGCAGCTTTGTGGATAGAAGACTAGACCCACTATAAACTCGGAACACTTGGAAACTTTACTCTTGCATCACCACCTAACTATCACCAGCACTATCACATAGTGAGACAGCCACTAATGAACCCAGAGTATCATGTGCAAATTACTTGAAAATTATATTTACAATATACTCTTAGTTGGCCCAGGTACCTTCTCCTCCACCACTTTCTCAGCACTGCTAATCACACTACTCCTTTTGCTCATCTGCTTTCCTTTTGCCCCCTGGTAAAACTTATCAACGATATTCCTTTCTCTTATTAATTTGATATTTTGCCATCCTCCTCTTATATCCCCATAAACAAAACAAGTCCAATCCAAACAAAGCCACACACTAGGTATCAGATCATTTAAAATTCAATGTTTTATTACTTTTCTTCATTAGTTTGCATCTCTAATGTAGTGCTTGAGACATGGAATACTGTTTTAGGAGCTCACGTGGTGGGAACGTCAATCATGTTTTGAAACCTATGGTACTACAGGAATATCAGCATTAAATAGAAATTAACCAGTAATAAAAAACCCTCAAAATTTCAATTATAATCAGATCATAAAAGAATCCCTGCATGCCGCCAGGTGCTCTAGTTAAGAGGCTCTTCAATCAAGGAAGCACAATCTTTATTTTGCCGTAGCTGCCTATAAATCCAAAAGGGAGATGTAAACATACATACACTAGACTAAACAATGGCTAAATAGCAGCCACTATTCACTCTCCCACTCACACATACCATGCAAGTCTGTGGGAAAAGCTTACGACTGAAGCTAAGGAACTCAAGTAAAGTTTTCTGAAAATAACCCAGAGCTGACAAGTCAGTAGGAGGGCCTGGATGGTTTCAAGACACAGTTTTTAACCAAGACTTGGACCTCCAACTGGGGTTTTTTTTGTGCTTTTTTTTTTTTAAACAAAGATTTACATCCCATCCTTGGCTAAATTACTTATAAATTAATCAAATTAATTACTGAGTGGATAAGCAAGACACTGGACAAGATAGAGTGAATGTCGGCCAGCCAATACAGTCTATGTTTTAAACAAATGCATCAGTGCTGGTTTTAACAGCTCTGTAGGGCCCAAAGACATTAAAAGACAAATATTTCTCCCAGAACACTGAAGAACATACGCATGTACATTTTGAGATTTTGTTTTTCTAGATTATAACAGAGATTATCAATTGCTGAAAATGACATTTGTGCCACTTTGACTTTTGTTTTGATACATTGTTTCTTGCACTCAGACAGGTACTGAATTTAGCATCCAAGATCTCTGTAAGCATGTATGCAATTTTGTGTATATGGTTTGATTGCTTTCAGAAATAATGCTCACAAACATAAAAACCATGGAAGTCTCATTTGTGCAGCATTGAGATCTCCCAGTCAGCAAACTTAGAAAGACAGTTTTTGAAACTTCTAAAAATTATAAAAATCTACCTGAGTGCATAAATTCACAGCTAACTTGTGGACATTTTTGTCTTCCTAAAGCTGAACAGGGGTGTAATAACTGAAATACCAATATAGACTTGCACTGAGTAACAAAGAGGGAAGAAAAGTGAGCTAGATGAAGGCTGTTTTCATTCAGCTTTATGAACTGTGTTTAAATTCAACTAACTTCTGTATTTTGTTAAGCACAGGTAGAGCATGACATGTATGTGTCCTTATGTACTTTAGATCTCTTTTGGTTACCGCTGGCACTGTGTTTAGCATTCAAAATCCTAGACATGGAGAACTTTAGAGCATTTTCTATTAACAGTCCCATACTTTTCTAAGTTATGTAGTGCATATCTCATATTCTGCAAAATACAAAACCATCACAGATGTGTGCTAAGAACTAGTTCCAAAGTAAAAGGAAACTTTTTAATTAAGGAAACATTGACTTTTATGGTTGCAAATCAGAAGAGCATTTTACTAAATGCTTAGCCTGTAGATTATGCTTCTTTAATTCACAAATTGACTGTACTAGGTCACCTTTGAGTAATGGAAATCTCTGTTTAAACATTTTTTTGGCAATGGGCACAAAGCATTAGATCTCATTTCCAAGACTTACCAGCTGGGTTTTGTCATTAACATTTATTAACAATCTAAGATATGGCTTTCAGCGTCTAATCCTCACTACACAAATGTTTTGTATAGTTCTCTAGAGAGCTTTGGTGTGACAAATTACTGGCACAGATTACAGCCCTGTGGCTATTCACCAGAGGCAATGCAAAATTAACATGGTACTAATCCAATTTAAACAAGAAATTGGTCAAACTATGCACAATTGTACAAATCATCTGAACTAAAGCAAATCTAGAATTCCTGAAGCAACAGTTTCCAAATTTATATTTAAAACACAGTAAATGGTTTTTGATCAGCTCTGTTTCAACTTTTATTTGGCTCTTTAAAGTCACTTAAATCCTTTATCAATAGACTAAGTATAAGATGAAGCACTGGAGTATAAAAACCACAAGGAACTACTTTGAAAGGGTTTCTTCTGTAGCCGAAAAGTTTTAAGTATTCACTGCGCATGCCAATTTATTTTTTAGTTCAGACTTTCAGCAAGGGGGTCAGCTGAAACTATCTATATATGTTACTAAATTCAGATTGTCAGGTCTATGGTGGCGAAATTTATAATAAAAACCTGATAGTGATATACACTAGTGTTAATCTGACAAGAAACAATCTTCTTTTATTCTACAGGAATTTTTAGATATGGCAGTAAGGAAAAATAGTGTGGACATTTCATGGCTGCTGAAAAAATCTTAATCAGAGAGATAAGATTTACATTCTTCCTTCTATCATCTTGTCAAGCACAGATATTGGAGATGAGAATTCATGACTCCTTTTATCACTAGGCAAAAAAGTACCAATTTGAAGACAGCAAATAAAGATGAGTTTTTAATTATTAATAGTGATTATACAGCACATTCACTCTTCAAAGAGAAAAACAGATTTTAAAAGGTAATTATCAATTATTCTCCAATAACTGAATACTCTATCGATGGGAATGAAGTGGAAACTATAATCCTTAAAAAAACCAATACTTCCTCAAGCAGGAAGTAGGTGTGAATACAGATAATAAAAACCCTTTACTAAACTTGAATTCTGAAGTTTTGGGTCTGTGTCAAGGTTTGTTCAGCAAAAGTGATTAATGATTTATTAATTTGTTTGTCAAGGCCAATGGAAATACTTGCCATTCTTAAGTATACTGTTTAGCTAATGCTTACTGTAATTCAAGAAAGACAGAGGATGACAAAAACCACAGAGGCATATAGATCCAATGAGGATGAAGCTGCTGCTCCTGCAAGTTTGAACAGAGTATTTTCAAGTCATATGTGTGTGACCACACACACACGAACTCTGTTAAAAAACATGCCACATTAGTATGAGATTAGAATTTGCAAGAGCAGGAGAAAAGTTTCACTTCCAGTTTAACTTTTCTGCAAGCTTATTTGTTTTATAGCATTCAACAAACCTTAAACCATTGTTTCTAAAAGCTAAGATGGGTTTCTCATTTTTATTTTTCATTTTACAATTAAAATACAAACCAGTTAGGACTAACTGGCCAAGATGGTTGGGACAGGAACAAAATATTTTCTCTGGAAGTGCTGACTGAGCATTATTGGGAATAAGATTAATGAAAATTTTTGAATCATGCCTCCTTTTAGCTATGCCAACCTTCTTTGCAGACATGAGCCTTGGTCTTTCCTGAGTTCAATGTCAAACACTAATCAGTTTTGCTGTTCTCATTTTTGTAAGAAGCATAGCTCAGAGCTTTAATTTTACAAAGACAAACACTAATAAAATGAAAACTGCTAGTAGTTAACAATAATTATCAGTAGCTTCCAACAATAAATTAACTCTGTTGTCTCACACAAAAGAAAACCTGCATACCTGTTTTAACCTTGCAAGTTCTTTCAAAGCCCTTGTCCATTGTTGTTTGTAGTGGAGCTTTGACTTGGTAGCTGACTCCAACTTTCTTTCAAGTTCAACCTAAAAGCAATTAAAATCATATCAGCTGAAGCAATAACAGCAGTAACAATCACTGAAAGCTGTATATATACAAAGGGTCTGGTTTAAGAAAAGTGTTTATGTAGTGTAACATACAACATCATCTAAAGCTGTTATATAATGTAACATAAATATTATGGCACATGAACATTTTCGTGTTTAAAATATAGCCTTATTTTTATTAGATAGCCGTCTATACAAAAAGGAAAAGATTAGTTTTAGCACTAAATTTGCTGATGTAACCTTTACATTTAAGATTCTCAAATTAGCAACTCCCCCCCTTTTTCTTTTTCAAAGTAAGATTATAAACAATCATTTAACAGAAACACTGATGGATAAATCTTGCCTTTAAAAGGTGTGCAGATTTTTTTTCTTTTCTGCAGCTGATGGAAGATATGTGCTACATTCTTTTCTTTGAAACAGATATCTCTTCAAACCATTCTTTAAAATCTATGTGAGAAACTCTGATCTTACTACCTAGATAAGTCTTTAAAAAATGTTACACACAAAAAAGTTCACTGCAAGCTGCGCAAAAAAAAAAATCAAAAGGCAAATCAAAAGTTATGAAGCACAGAGAACTCAGTAACCTGAAAAAACGAAGCATTTTAAAATAGGAACTGAGGCAGTGATATTTTCTTTTAATCAGACAAATTATTTACCATTAAATTTGTGATGATCTTAAAGGACTGATTTTTTTTTTAAGTCTAAAAAATAGGAAATCTAACAAGATATTTAAGGTAAGAGTTTAAAGAGTCTGTAGAGACAGAAACATTTTAAATCATTGCATTATTAGAAGTTATTCAAGCATACAGTAACATGCAGACTGGCCATACAACTGTGAGTACATTTTGTGCCAAGAAGCCTGGTCCAATCTTTTTTCAGCATATTCAAAGTTTGACTCAAACCTCACAATAATTCTGAGGAAAAAATGCCTATATCTGTGGTTTTAATTAAGCAAAAATCCTCTACTGAAGGCACGTATGGTTTCTAAGAAATCAACTTACAACAGTGATTCCATTCCACTAATAAATAACAATCTCTTTTCAGAAATACTTAATTAAAAATGCACATAATAGAATACCATTCTAAACTAATCCTCACAAGAAAGTCTTAATCTTTATTTAGTTCTATAAACAGAATGCTCAGAGTCCCCAGCATAAATCATGATGGTAGAAATTTAAATATATAGGTTAGTTTTTTCCTGCCTTAGCTTCTAACAGTACTGCTTCTTCTATAAAAATAAGGCCACTGATGGCCTTCTTTGTGTCTGAACATTTAAAGTCTGAAAAAATTATTGGAAAAAAAGTAAAACAAAACGGACAGATCAGTCAGTTTATCAAACAAGATTATTTTACATCTCCCTTATCAGTAAATGGACCGTTGCAGCAGTTTTTAAAGACTAGAAAAATCCAAGATACCTTTTCTAAAGTGAGAAGATTTATTTCCGATTGTAGCTGTATTTCTGGTTTGCTACTTTGCTGTTCTTTGTATTGCTGGAACTCCTTCTCCAAAATTTTATGCTTGTTTTCTGCTTCATAAAGCTACATTAAAGATATCACAATATAATGCAAGTTAGCAGAAAAAACCATTCACAGACAAAGAATTAGGTTACAGAACTTAAGTTACTCCTTAGTCCCTGGAACAAACTTCTTACTGTCAATAATATGATATAATACAGGCACTGAAAGTTACACATTGATAATTAATGATTTCTTGATGATGGCATAGAGCAATATTTTAATAGGAAAAATTTTAAAGAGGACCTTTGCAAAGTACTGGAAAGAAAAAAACAAGTCTGTCCTCATATACAGAAGATCAAGATTTATAAACATTGCTGTTCACATTTCTAAAACTACTTACAGAAAAAACACAGAAAACAAAACTATTTAGATTTACACACATCTTTTAAAGAAAGCCAACAGTGCTATCTACTATATGAAGTTTTATTACATACACAATTGCACAAGCATAACTTGCTTAGGAATGTCTGGAAGAGGAAACAACTAATACTTTGTACAGCCAAATAATGATTTAGAAGAAAGGCTGAAGTAGAAAGACTTCAGTGACTAATGGCTTAACACTATGTACATTTGCCCTCACTGTGTACTTCCACAGTTTCATGAAGATTTTATAAAGAGAGAGCTTTGCTTTTCATCTTAAAATGGGTAATAGGAAAACTGATGCCAATACACAATTACTTGGCTACAAAGAAACTAAGCAAGTCAAATGTTTAACAGCTTTTTTTCATTACATGATATTAAAAATGTTAAGAATTTTTTATGAGAAGTTTTCTCAGAGTAGCTTATGTATTCTTCTTCTGTTAAGTACCATTCAACTACAAATACCTTAATACACCTGATGGAACTGGTGCATTCCATCACAGAATACAATCCCAAATGCTGCACTTTTATTTATGTCCGACTAGTTAATGCACGTATTTCCATGAATTGTACCCAACAGTTTAGAACACCGACTGAAAATGCTTCAGAGAATTAATTTGTTTCAAAGCCTACAATTTCTCCTATTAGTACATCAATATTTTAATTCTTTGGATCTCTTATGTGGGTCACATCTGTTTTCCAAAATTTTGGTTTTTCCATCAATTATTTTTACAGAATTGTTGTAAGAAAGCAAAGATGTTTCTTAAGTAGCCATACAAAAACATAGTTTGCTGCAGTTACTTTTCACATATAACTGCCATAGCCAAATCTGACAAAAGATAATATTGTTTGTTACCTTTCCATTTTTACCTATTTCTTTCTAAAGCAGACATACAGACTTGATGCCAATTACAGAGACAGTAACTAATTTCTTTAGCTATGAAAAATGCCAGCTCGCCCTAAAACTTCTACAGTACTGTTTAATTTGTTGTTTGGTTCTGAAAATATTTTCAAAAATTGAATTTCTCATGAGACCTCAGGTTGTGGACCATTAGGGAACTGCACAGATCATACAAATAAAGCACAACTGCCTTATTTGGGAAGTTCTTCAAGATGGATACTTCAAGGATCTTCTCTTGCACATAGTGGGGCTTACCTCCAAACAATTTAAACATCTAGAGAACTCTAGAATTCAAGTGTGAAAACTGTATATTGACATATGTCCTAATAGGCAAGGAATAAGCCAAAGCATTTGGTTTAGAACTACTGTAATTTATTCCAGAACAGTCCTTGTTAAAAAACCAAAACAACAAAAACCCACATGAACAAAAAAACCCACACGCAAAAAGTTAAAAAAGTGAGAGGCCCATCAGAACTGGTAGCAACAGGAACTTTCTGCTTGTTCGTGTTACAAAGGGAACCATCCTACAGTGAGACTCCAAACCAAACAAAACCCCACCCCACCTCCAGCAAAGCAAAACAGGAAAGCTTGTATTATGCAGAATATGCGGTAACAGGCACCTCATATTGAAACATGAGAGGGATTCAAAATAGCAGGAACAGCACAGAGAGGGACAGCCAGGATGATCAGCTGGAAGGAATGGCCTTCAAGGAAAGGAAGACAAAAACATAGTGGGGCTTGTGTTTGGAAGAGAGACAGTATGACAAACACCTAAGCAATCGGGAACTGTATGTAGCACAGGCACTAAAGGATTCTTAATAATTGTTAAGCAACAAGTTTAAAATGAACAAAAAGTTTAAATATGCAACACATAATTAAATTTTAGAACTCACTGCCACAGGATGTCGCAATGCTAAAAATAGAAATACTTTTTAAAAGGGATCAGATGAGTTCACGAAGAATAGCATTTCATATTTACTATCCATCAGTGAAAGTGTCTCTTGGCTGAGTGTTTGTGTAACTCTTGATGTACTGATGGATATACCAACATTGTATTTTCTCATTGTCCCATTTCTTGTTTTCTTGTCTTCTAAATCCAAACACTGCTGCAACAGAACGCTGACCTAACTGGTCTGATACAGTATGGCTGTTTTAAATAGGAAAAATAACATAATTATGATGGTATTGCAACCGAGCTAAAAAAAAAAACAGTCAGTGGGGGTCAAAAAAATTAATTGGAAGACGCCTCCTAGGTGGTGCACAGAGCCTTGGCTATCTTGTCTGGACTGATGCGGCATTGGTAGCTGCCAACAACACATCTATGATGCAGAAGTGATCCACTTAGCAAGTTGAAGTGGATTGCATCCTGTAGTTTGAAACTGCTCATCTAAATTCAATAATTGTTCAGTAGAATAACTAAGATTAGCAACATCTAGATCAGCAGCATTTTCTGTATTAGCTATACTTAAAAACTTCACTGTGCTGTGGTTAACATATGCTGATGTGAAAAGAAGCAGGTTAATATCAGTCTTTAATATTAAATAAAAAAAACTCACAAAAGCCAGCACAACTCTTCCTAATCCAAAAATATGCCTTTGGTTGATACAGTTCTTCAACTAGTCATAGCTATGTGGGATTATCATTGTCACAAAGCAAGTAATTTATCTACATAAACCAAATACTTTGAAAAATACTTATGCATTACTAAGATTTAATCTACTTAACAAGTTAAGAGTCTAATATTGTAACTGCTCAAAAAAACCTAGTACTAGCTTCTAAAATTTTACACTATGCTTTAACAGTCAAGGAAAATAGCTAGACAAGCCTTGTTGTTAGTACAACAGCTAGCTTACAGGATGAAAGAATATGGTGTAAATCTTCTCAGTTTAATGAAACTACTACTTTCACAATAAAAGATGACAATATCAAGATTATTTCCTCCCCCACCCCAATAGGGACAATAGGAATACTCTTTTGCAATGGAAGAATAAAATGAACTGCATAGTCAAGCTACCCAAATATTTTGCTAATATTCACTGCTAACAATATATTAAGTTACTGAAATGCATACTGCTGTTCAGGTTCTACATGTAAGGTAAGCTTGTCATTGCAGTTCAATTTTCAGTGTTAAAAAAATTATTATAACCACTGCATTGCAAACTGGCCCAACTATTCAGCAAGACTGACAGAGATGGATCCCAGCACGCAGCTCACCAAACAATGGCGATAAAATACTTATTACAAAGTCACCAAAATGCGCTTGCCTCAAAATAATTGCTCAACTTGGTATACTTATTTTAAAAAATGGTTACTTTAAGTAAATGGTTGACATGGAAAATTTAAGTGTAGTTACCTGCTGCTGTAAGCGAAGCTTGTCTTCTTCCAGCTGTTTGATTTTTGACCTTTCTAACTCAACCTGGTGTGCACATTCTTCTCTAGCTCGCCGCACAGAATCCTGTAGCTCCTGCAGATTTCGTTCATGCTCTGCTTCCAACTCCTTCTTTACTCTTTGAAGCTTAAAATTAAGACATTTATATGAATCCATAGGTGCAAGACCTTTAAGATACTTTTTTTACAATTGTTACTACTATTTATGACAAAAAGACTGTTATCAATTTTAGAAATTAAACAATTGTTATATATTCACTATATACTCTTTTATCGGCTTTCAGATTAACTAACATCCTGCAAGTTACTAAATTTTGGCTACAAATATATTCTTGCTTGACTATTGTAAAAATGGAGCTATCTGTATCTCTGCTGTACTTTCTACATGGGATTGCTGAAGGCAAATTTTACATCTACCTTTCTACTACAAGCTAAAAAGCTAAATATACCTCTTTGCTGCAGAAAAAGTGAAGTCACAGCTACAGCCAGGATGCCTTTAGATTAGTAAGACTGCACTCTTCAAACTGAGCATACTGAGAAAATTTCTCATTGAGCTAAACCGGAAAACAGTGCTTGACATGTTTGAACTTTCTAGAAAGATGTTACTGGCTCAGACGACTGCTAGCTGAATAGAAACCTCTCCAAATGGCCCATTTCTCAAACTGTGTAATTGCTAAATGAACACTACATCATTTTGTCTAGACGCTTTTGAAATCCACTGATTTTTATTATCTCTAAACCCTCAGGTCAGAATCTCACTAAATTTAGAGCAAGTTTTGAGACAAACATGTATGAAGTTCAAAATAAATAATTTTACTCAGACTGAAACACATTCAGCCAAACCTAATCACCAGATTTTTTGCATAGATGTTAAAGGTAGTCAGACACTATTCGGAGCAAACTGCATCCTGAGGGATATAGAGAGCCAGAGTACAGAACAGGGCACAGGCTCAACCAGCACGTCCCTGTGTTGGGAGATTTCTTAACTTTGTTCACAAGGACAGGAGGGATTGAGATGATAAAAAGATTAATCTGAGCTATAGGGGGAAAGACAGTTTGTTGGAGTCCTAAATCACCACAGCAGTTTACCTATATAGTTGTGAGTTTCTTCTGAAGTACAAAAATATGCAGTTTATTTTCCTTCCTTCTCTTTGCACACAGCTAGCTTCCCTAAGGACTTGCACCACACCCCACTTCCTCATCTTGGGGCTATTCAGTAAGATCTAGAAACAGTGGTAGCTACCGGTTTCTCCCCCATCTTCTTTGGCCCTGTCACTATTAAAAAGATGCAAAATAGGAACTCTATCAAATTGCTGAATAACAAAGCCTGGACAAATGCAGTTTCTCCCAGCTCTCCTCATCACCTTCTCCTATTTCAATGGTTAATCTAGCAATTACTGTTTGAAGTAAGACATTGTTATACACATGTACAACATTCACTTGACAGTACTAAACTTAAAATTGAGCTATGCTAACGTTATATAAATGTCTCCACTGACACTAATTCTGTTAATAATAGAAAATCTACAGTTCCGTAATTCTAGCAACCCATTTAGAAGTTCATTGAACTTCCATTTCAGTAACAAAAATTTAAGACAAATTTTGTTACAACTACATTATTAGTGCCCCTCTATGTATCAGTATGAATGTGGCTATTTCAGTTCTTATACACAGGTCACAATTGTCTCCATATGAAAACTCAAACATTAGAGAAATGGCTCATGCAATTAAATTGTGTAAAGTGACCAAAACCTGTTTACCTCTGATTCAGCACTAAAAAGCTGTCGTTCTCGCTTATCTAGGTCTCTCAGGGTTTTCTGAAGTTGTTCCTCCAAAACGGTATATTCTGCTACCTAAAAAGACAAACACTAAAGGCTTTTTTTCCTTGCAATAAAAAAAATTTTTTAGGCAGGTAAAGAATTTACTCTTGCTATGATATAAAATACTGACAATTTTTGCTTGGAAATTTACATGTAAAACAAATCTCCAGCCCTTAGTGACTAAGTCACAACGGAGAGCCTTTCCTGTAGAACTGCTTTTTGACCATGCAAGTGAAAGGCAATTGAAGTTAAAAAGCTCCAAAGAAAGCAAGGTAACCTAAAGAATTTCTAACAAGTATTCTATGATTAAGGGCTACTTTTAATTTTTTATATTGACTGTTAATTTTTTATACTGTTATAGATAGCATGCATACTAGTAGGTGTAAAGATTAATCACAGAACCTTTGTTCTATGTTATAGTTACGAAGTATCTTGTCAAATTTTATGGTGATATGAGATTTGTAATGAGACTTTCAGCAAGTATAAGAACGAGTTTTCTTACCTTTTTCTTCACTAGTGCTTCTCTCTCTCTATCTCTTTTCTTCCATTCTTCTGCAAGTACTTGCATATGGGCCATTTCCTTCTTTTTAAGCTTTTAAAAGCCAAAAAAGGAACAAAAACCCCAAACAAGAGAACCAAATCAAAGTCGTTGAAACCTTAAAGGAGAAAGTACTAGCAGAACTAAGCCTTGAGGCAAAAAAAAAAAACCCCTAAGCTTAGTACACCAAATTATAACTAAAGGTATGATTCTGATAAGGGTGAAAAATATCTTTCACTAAGTACAAAATGCAAAAGTATGCCCAAATTTGTGAAAAATATCCTAACAGATACATGCTAGATACTTGGTATCTTTTAAAAAGCATGCAACTAAGAACACCTAGAATGACTTCAAGAGTAGGAACACAGCAATGGATTTTGATTGAGAATAAAGAAACACGGTGTTAATATTTAACACCAACAACCAATTAAGCTTCTTCCTTAAGAGTATGGAAGATACTTGTGTACATCTGAAGTTTTAATATTCTATATGAGCAAAATTTACTTATTTGAAACGGTAATAATGTTTAAGAAAAATGCAATCCATATTCCTCTCACCAATTCTGCTAAAGCTTCTCAGGCAGTCATACAGTTTAGGAAATAAACAGAAAGAATAAAAACCTGATTTTCAAAAATGTCCTCTTGTATTTCTTTCCACATTTCTAACTCCAGTGCTGCTTTGTATTCAAGAGTTTCTCGAGGTTCTGGATGGTTTTCTGGGGCACAACGAGGCTGAGTGTGAGGAACATGCTGCTGTGGACCAGCACCTACACACTGATATAACAACAGTATATTTTTAACTGGAAACGCACCTTTTCAAAGAAGTGTTCAAAGAAAAAGGATAAGATTTATGTAAAACTTACCTGAGAAGAATCTGACACTAGAACTTCTTGCATCTTCACAAGCCCATAGTCTTCCAAAGTAATAGCATATGAAAGCTCTGCTATTCTGTTGCCTGACCTATAAATAGCATTAGAATGCTATTTTAATGAAAGCTGTCTCAAAAATACAGAAAATTAATTGTAAGACAACATACAAAACAGCAAAATTGCAGTGCTAAAAGGCTTTGTGTAAGCTTAGAGACTCTAAACATTTGCTCATGTGAGAGCCCAAACATGCTGTCTCGTGTATATTGTTTTAACTTAGGGACTGATTTATACATCTACAGTAAGCTTTCTAACAGATAACTTGTCATTGGGAACCTATTTTAACTAATGGCTTTAATCAACATATCCCTGTAACAAGAATGATCTGAAATTGTACCTGCAGTCTTAAGTCTAACTAATATACCTGTTGAATACAGGTATTGCTGCTGACTTTGTTGTAAGATACTCTATGAATTTCATTAGTCTTGCTTTTTCAAATGTTAATAGTAACTTCTTAATTATCCACAGTATAAGTTACTTAGCAGATCATATGTGGTAAGCCATCCTTGGATTACTAAAACCCACATTTCTGGAAGCTTCAGCACAGGAAACTGACAACTTTTAAACCACTTATAGGTTAGATATTTATCTGCTCTTGTACAGTTAAAAAAGTCTAGACAACCAACATTTTAATAAACTAATTTGAAATTAGCTGCAGTTTCTAATTAAGTAGAAGAGTTTGTTTCTGGCTGTCTCACCTCTAATCATAGACAAAATGTAGTAAACAAAGGTAGTTTTCTGCATAGAAAGATATTGAGAATGAATATGCACAAATCATGTAACTGAAAGTTATCACTAGTCTTACATGAAAGTACACTGCAGCGTAGACCTGTACTTGCTCAGAAACAAAACTATCATTTCAGTTATAACTACTCAACGATGCAAAGGCTGACACCTAGAAGCTGCAAAACTA